TTTTTTTTCACACTTTTTTCGCGCCCACACGTTTTTTATCCTCTTTTCGGTGTAGTACCCCCCCCCCTCGCCACCGGCTGCTCTGCGTCGTCTTTAAGGAGCTTAAGTATCTCGGCGACTTTGTATCTGTTGCTGCTTCGTCAATATAACCCAATTGAAAAACTGAGTGACACAAGTGCAGGTGCCTATCAGACCCCGCAGAACAACATAGCTACTGGGAGGCTGCCGCCAAGCCCGTGATAGGTGAGTGAGTCTGCGGCTGCTGAGGCAGATTGAGTTACCCTGAGCTAGGGTGCGGTAGTAGTTTGTCCTACGGATTGAGAAATGCACGCGCACGGAAATTGAGTGAATGCGTCACCTGTGTGTGTGTGAGTGAAAGGTAGAGAGGGAGAGAGAGAGTGACACAGAGTGAGAGAGATAGTGGGAGAGAGAGATGAACGCTTGGGTGCGCTGACGTGCGTTGCGTTTGAAGGTGCTGAGGATAGCAGGAAAGGGGAGAGTGAGGAGCGTATTAAAAGCGTGCGCACATCGATTCTATCCCACGAACGACGGCAAAGCATGTAGCTGTTTAGGTTGTGGCCGTTTGAGTGTGCGTTAGGTGTGGTAGGGTGTTTGTGGGAGTGTATGCTGGTGTGCTATGATCGCGTCGATTGGTGTGCGTTGTGTCTGTGTATGAGGGCGCTTAGCTCAAATGGTAGAGCGCCCGCTTCGCATGCGGGAGGTAGGGGGATCGATACCCCCAGTGTCCACAATTTTCATTTTCAACCTTTTTACGCCACCAAACGTTTTATCACCTCTTCGCCGTTGATTACCCCCCCCTCGCCACCGGCTGCTCTGCGTCGTCTTTAAGGAGCTTAAGTATCTCGGCGACTGGTATTCGTTTGTTGGTGTGTTACATTTTAAACCACAATTGGACCCAAAGTGGAGGTGAAACCACAGTGGCAGGGTGCTTTTTCGAACCCCGCGCGATAAACCTAGTTTACTGGGAGGCTGCCGCCAAGCCCGTGATAGGTGAGTGAGTCTGCGGCTGATGAGGCAGATTGAGTTACCCTGAGCTAGGGTGCGGTAGTAGTTTGTCCTACGGATTGAGAAATGCACGCGCACGGAAATTGAGTGAATGCGTCACCTGTGTGTGTGTGAGTGAAAGGTAGAGAGGGAGAGAGAGAGTGACACAGAGTGAGAGAGATAGTGGGAGAGACAGATGAACGTTTGGGTGCGCTGACGTGCGTTGCGTTTGAAGGTGCTGAGGATAGCACGGAATAGGGAGAGTGAGGAGCGTATTAAAAGCGTGCGCACATCGATTCTATCTCACGAACGACGGCAAAGCATGTAGCTGTTTAGGTTGTGGCCGTTTGAGTGTGCGTTAGGTGTGATAGGGTGTTTGTGGGAGTGTATGCTGGTGTGCCATGAGCGCGTCGATTGGTGTGCGTTGTGTCTGTGTATGAGGGCGCTTAGCTCAAATGGTAGAGCGCCCGCTTCGCATGCGGGAGGTAGGGGGATCGATACCCCCAGTGTCCACAATTTTCATTTTCAACCTTTTTACGCCAGTAAACGTTTTATCACCTCTTCGCCGTTGATTACACCCCCCCCCTCGCCACCGGCTGCTCTGCGTCGTCTTTAAGGAGCTTAAGTATCTCGGCGACTTTGTATCTGTTGCTGCTTCGTCAATATAACCCAATTGACAAACTGAGTGACACAAGTGCAGTCTATCCCACGAACGACGGCAAAGCATGTAGCTGTTTAGGTTGTGGCCGTTTGAGTGTGCGTTAGGTGTGGTAGGGTGTTTGTGGGAGTGTATGCTGGTGTGCTATGATCGCGTCGATTGGTGTGCGTTGTGTCTGTGTATGAGGGCGCTTAGCTCATATGGTAGAGCGCCTCGCTTCGCATGCGGGAGGTAGGGGGATCGATACCCCCGGTGTGCACATTTTTCTTTTTTCAACTTTTTTACGCCACCAAACGTTTTTATCTCCTCTCCGCCGTTGATTACTCCCCCCCCCTCGCCAGCAGCTGCTGTGCGTCGTCTTTGAGGAGCTTAAGTATCTCGGCGACTTTGTATCTGTTGCTGCTTCGTCAATATAACCCAAGTGACAAACTGAGTGACACAAGTGCAGTCTATCCCACGAACGACGGCAAAGCATGTAGCTGTTTAGGTTGTGGCTGTTTGAGTGTGCGTTAGGTGTGGTAGGGTGTTTGTGGGAGTGTATGCTGGTGTGCTTTGAGCGCGTCGATTGGTGTGCGTTGTGTCTGTGTATGAGGGCGCTTAGCTCAAATGGTAGAGCGCCCGCTTCGCATGCGGGAGGGTAGGGGGATCGATACCCCCAGTGTCCACAATTTTCAATTTCAACCTTTTTACGCCACCAAACGTTTTATCACCTCTTCGCCGTTGATTACCCCCCCCCTCGCCACCGGCTGCTCTGCGTCGTCTTTAAGGAGCTTAAGTATCTCGGCGACTTCGTATCTGTTGCTGCTTCGTCAATATAACCCAATTGACAAACTGAGTGACACAAGTGCAGGTGCCTATCAGACCCCGCAGAACAGCATAGCTACTGGGAGGCTGCCGCCAAGCCCGTGATAGGTGAGTGAGTCTGCGGCTGCTGAGGCAGATTGAGTTACCCTGAGCTAGGGTGCGGTAGTAGTTTGTCCTACGGATTGAGAAATGCACGCGCACGGAAATTGAGTGAATGCGTCACCTGTGTGTGTGTAAGTGAAAGGTAGAGAGGGAGAGAGAGAGTGACACAGAGTGAGAGAGATAGTGGGAGAGAGAGATGAACGCTTGGGTGCGCTGACGTGCGTTGCGTTTGAAGGTGCTGAGGATAGCAGGAAAGGGGAGAGTGAGGAGCGTATTAAAAGCGTGCGCACATCGATTCTATCCCACGAACGACGGCAAAGCATGTAGCTGTTTAGGTTGTGGCCGTTTGAGTGTGCGTTAGGTGTGGTAGGGTGTTTGTGGGAGTGTATGCTGGTGTGCTATGAGCGCGTCGATTGGTGTGCGTTGTGTCTGTGTATGAGGGCGCTTAGCTCAAATGGTAGAGCGCCCGCTTCGCATGCGGGAGGTAGGGGGATTGATACCCCCAGTGTCCACAATTTTCATTTTCAACCTTTTTACGCCACCAAACGTTTTATCACCTCTTCGCCGTTGATTACCCCCCCCCTCGCCACCGGCTGCTCTGCGTCGTCTTTAAGGAGCTTAAGTATCTCGGCGACTTTGTATCTGTTGCTGCTTCGTCAATATAACCCAATTGACAAACTGAGTGACACAAGTGCAGGTGCCTATCAGACCCCGCAGAACAACATAGCTACTGGGAGGCTGCCGCCAAGCCCGTGATAGGTGAGTGAGTCTGCGGCTGCTGAGGCAGATTGAGTTACCCTGAGCTAGGGTGCGGTAGTAGTTTGTCCTACGGATTGAGAAGTGCACGCGCACGGAAATTGAGTGAATGCGTCACCTGTGTGTGTGTGTGTGTGTGTGAGTGAAAGGTAGAGAGGGAGTGACACAGAGTGAGAGAGATAGTGGGAGAGAGAGATGAACGCTTGGGTGCGCTGACGTGCGTTGCGTTTGAAGGTGCTGAGGATAGCAGGAAAGGGTATGGTGAGGAGCGTATTAAAAGCGTGCGCACATCAAATCTATCCCACGAACGACGGCAAAGCATGTAGCTGTTTAGGTTGTGGCCGTTTGAGTGTGCGTTAGGTGTGGTAGGGTGTTTGTGGGAGTGTATGCTGGTGTGCTTTGAGCGCGTCGATTGGTGTGCGTTGTGTCTGTGTATGAGGGCGCTTAGCTCAAATGGTAGAGCGCCCGCTTCGCATGCGGGAGGTAGGGGGATCGATACCCCCAGTGCCACAATTTTCAATTTCAACCTTTTTACGCCACCAAACGTTTTATCACCTCTTCGCCGTTGATTACCCCCCCCTCGCCACCGGCTGCTCTGCGTCGTCTTTAAGGAGCTTAAGTATCTCGGCGACTTCGTATCTGTTGCTGCTTCGTCAATATAACCCAATTGACAAAATGAGTGACACAAGTGCAGGTGCCTATCAGACCCCGCAGAACAGCATAGCTACTGGGAGGCTGCCGCCAAGCCCGTGATAGGTGAGTGAGTCTGCGGCTGCTGAGGCAGATTGAGTTACCCTGAGCTAGGGTGCGGTAGTAGTTTGTCCTACGGATTGAGAAATGCGCGCGCACAGAAACTGAGAGAATGCGTCACCTGTGTGTGTGTGTGTGTGTGTGTGTGAGTGAAAGGTAGAGAGGGAGTGACACAGAGTGAGAGAGATAGTGGGAGAGAGAGATGAACGCTTGGGTGCGCTGACGTGCGTTGCGTTTGAAGGTGCTGAGGATAGCAGGAAAGGGTATGGTGAGG